AAAGTGCTTAAATATTGGCTGGATCATGCCCGTTAGTTGGTAGCCTCTGCAGTATCATAAATATATTGATGTTCTAGCTACGAGTCTATGGTTTCTGTATTTTTTTCGATAAGGAATCATTGAACTGCCTAAAGGGTTTCATATATCTTTACTTTTTGAAACTATTTTTATACACACTCTAAACTGAATGGTGACCACTGTCACATGCTCTGTGTGTGTGTGTGCGTGTGTGTGTGTATATATATAGATAGATAGATAGATGTATCCTCTATCAACTCAATCATTCTTGCCTTATGGTGAAAAACAATCTATTTTTACTTAGTGAATCTATAAAGATTTTGTAATGTCCCTCATTTCAATGCAGTCTGTGGAAGAAACTACACTTTTTTAAAAAGAAACTGATTGAACAGGAGACTGCTAAATCTCAGGTGTAGCTTACTGATACCCAGTTCTCATCTGCAAAATTAAAATCATTTGCTCTGTTAGGTTGTTTAAACTGACATTTAAGTCCAAGTTTACAGTCCATACAATATTGGACAACAAGTTCTAGACTTAAAGCACTTCTCTGAGCCTCCTAGGCCAATAAAATAAATGACTCTAAAATTTGCCTCTTGCAAAATCCAGGAGCCACTGTACTACATACCAACAATAACATGGGTGAAACTAGAGTAAAGACTATGTAGCAGCAGTTGTTGATGCATTGAACTTCTTGTTTTCAGTATGACAACATAAGGACAACTTGTTCTCTTGGTTCTAATCCATAAATTCCAAAGTAGTCCTACTCAAATTAGTGGGCTGTATTGTAGATTGACTGGGTTTACAATTTGTGAGTTTCACGTTGAAGCTCTTCAGCATGTTCTTGTTGACTTTGTAGCAGCTTTGGTAGCCATAAAACATGGCTGAAGTTCACACAAATATTATGTATACAGTATTTCTTAAAATGTGTGTTAAAATAAAAGGAAAAATCTAAGCATTTGAGCTTGGTCAAGATGGTTCTGATTATAAAGAGCAGACTGATGGGTGGTGTCTTTGTAAAACCAAGTTACTACTTGTTTAAAGTGCTGGTTGCTAGAGCTTTGTAAGATAAAATGCTAAGTGATTATATTTCAGCTGCCAAAGGAAAAGTATGAAGATCAATTGTGCATGCAGGGTTTGGAGTTTAACCATTGGCATCTCCAATTGAAAGGGATGTTGGATAGCAACATTGAGAAATGCTTGTGCCTGAGACTTGAAGAGTTGATGCCATTCATAGCAGAATGTTTGGGTAGAGTAAGATGGTGTAGTACGCAAACCACTTGCAACTTCTGTTGCCCCCACCAAATTTTAAGGACATAAATGAGGTTTGCAATGCTGTGTGCACCAAAAGGATCAAATTCAGCTTAAAACGAGCTACATTCAACCCTTTTAATGTTCCTTAGTGCTACAGATGGCATTTTTTTCCACAGCACCCTGTGGCCTCCAGTCCGCTTGCCCTTGCTCATCCCTGAGCTAGAAGGACAGTTGGTGTGGCAGTATAAGGTACCTTTACATGGTCATAAGAATGTTTTATTTAAGACTTTATGTGACCCGAATCATTCTGTAAAAGAGGAAACTGTGATTTTTTTAAAGCTACCTCAGCACAAGAAATGCACTGCCACTGTCTGATTGTTGCAAAAACTGTGATCAGTCAAGTGGCAAAGAACTGTAGTAAGGGCATGCCAGTATCAGAGATCCCTGAAACAATAAAACAGATGATGTCTTGACAAGCATAGATGCTATTCACAAACATCATTTTGATGTTCAGCTATTACCTAATAAGGAGAGGAAGGGCAGTATCCAACAGCGTAATTCCACTAGCACAAATGATGTCCTAGAGGAAACTAAGTTCCAAAATATGTACAAGCCTATTCAACTGAACTTGCCATTCTGCAAGCAGTTGCACATTACACTTGCATAATCTGTTCCAGCATAATGCACAGCCACTTGTATCATAGAGTTGCCAGAGCTCTTTTGCAGAATTACAACACTGAACACCCACACAGATTCCACCTAACATATTAAAGGGAAAATAGTTTAGCCCTATACTAGAAAAGCTTTACAAGATCCTTGAGTGTCATCTGGGATTAGGAGGAGATAATTTTAGCAGAGTATGTGTATGAATTGTATTATTTAATAGAGTGAGACTAAGGGATAGAATTATATTTAGACATCTAATAATGTAGAAATGGTCATTTATGGTAGCATTTATGAATGGAAACTAGAGTTTCACAGCTGTGTAAATCAGAAGTTGTGGTTACAATGTCTGAACTAATTGGGACAAATGGATCTAACATGCAAAATGATACAGCTGATCTAGATGTATCCCCTCTATTACTATGTTGAACAATGCTTACCTGTTCATTTCCAGGACTGAGCTCTGAAAGAAATATGGATTTGTAACTTTGTAGAAGCTGGCCGATTGACTGTTATCTTAAATGTCATCAGGAAAATCAGGCCCTGTCAGAGTTTTGATTCTTAGTTTGATTTATCAGTCAAGTGACTAACAGATTAAAACCACTAGGAATATTAATGCATTAATGTTAAAAGGGGAAGATGGTATATTTGAATTGAGGCATGGGGAAGAAATGCTGGTGGCATTTGAATTGCTGACATGTTTGTCAGTCATCTAATGGAGCAATTCTGTGGGCCAAAAGCAGCATCTGAGGGGGCTATAGGGCAGATTGGATTCCTGGATCTGAGCTGGACACAGTGCTTTGGCCTCAGAGAGGAAAGATGGACAACTGACCCTGCTCTTCCTCCCATATAATTGTTTGCTGCTTTCTGAGGTTTGGAAAGCAACCTTAGAATGGAGGAAAGGTGTTATAAAGGGGAGTTTGAGTGTATGGGAAGGAAATGTGAGAGACCAGTCTATGAATATTTCTGAGCCTCCTCCAGCTTCCTAGCTGCCTTCTTTGAATTGTCATCACCAGACAGGTGAAAAAGCCCATCTAGCGAAAGACTGCAGGAAGCCAGAAATATGAAAATTAACTCTTGCTCCTCCCACCCTGCATAGGATGATTGTAAATTCTAAGAGCTGGGGTTTGATCCTAGGATTGTACCCTAAGTTATATAAAACCAGGTTTGCCATCTGAGTTAGAGAGTCATTAAGGCTGGGCATAGCAGTGTTAGTCTGAAAGATACAGGATTACGCAGCTAAGGTATTTGGACCATCTGTCCCAGAAGCACATAGGCTTGTAGCCAGAAATGTGAGGATAGAAAACTTCTTTTTGCAAAACTGGCTCAACATAAATTCAGGTAGTCTACTTTTTATTATTTAATGAGCAATTGGGCAGAATACTGAGGTAAGTACTATTCTGTTAGGGCCATATTCTCTATTGTTACTAAAAGGTCAAAAGCCAAATATAAAAATTGTCAATAAGGACTAGTTAGCAAACTGCCAATACATAAAGAATTAAAATATTAATATACATGATAAGCACAGAGCAAGGGTTTTATATCACCATGCAAGTCCAGCATATTTTGTTCTTTTAAATGACTTTGTTATGGAGTGTACATTAAAAGTTAAACTAATGCTGCCAAAGTTTGCTTTTATTAATAAAAATAGTTGTGAAGGTTTTGTTCTAAAAATTCTCCACTGCTGAGAATCATGAGACCCCTTGCAGTCAAGCAAAAAATTAGTACCCCAGTTTACTTTTCTTTGAATTCTGAAACTAGAGTTCAGAAACATTTTTTCTGTTAGAAAGTTAAAAACATGTTTATTAACGGAAAAAAGTCAGGGTGGTTGAGAAATGGTAGCAGGCCTAGAATTTAGGAGACCCCAATATACTATGATTTGTGGCAATCCTAGTAACAGAAAGCTAACATTATGAACCACAGGAGTATTTCCATAATTTCAATTAAATAAAAGCAACACAGTGCAGGCCTTTATTTCATGTATATTATTTTCCTTAGGTTAGGGTTAGATCTTTCAGATTTTCCAGGACAGATGTTTCTGAGAGGTTTTTTTTGTTTGTTTGGTTTTTTTTGCACAAATGAATTTTGCAAACCACGAAGTGTTTATGGGTAACCAGAAAGTGAAGGCCTTTTTTTCTTACCCCTGAAAGAGATACATAAACCCAAACTGATTATGTTGCTTTATTTTCCTTCTGGTATTGCTTTAAATCTGTGCTATCTCCCCATCCTGTGCCAGTGAAGCTCAACCCTGAAATTCAACTGCTTTATTTTCTGTTTGTTGATACAATACAGCTGGTATTAGCAATGTTGCTAATGCCAACATCTTTAAGAGTTCATCAAAAGCTGGTGTCCAATCAAGCAAGCAAACAAGCCCTGCATAAAAATGCACTTTGAGTACCAGTTAGGTCCAACTTACTTCTGCTGTGAATGGAGAATACCTTTCCCCTCTCTTCCCTGACTTCCCTAGAGCATTGTTTAAGCATGGTCCGGAAATTATTCATCAATATTCAAAGGAGCAACTGGATTAAATATTGGTCTCTCCCTTTTTGCTTGCAATTTCCCGTAAGTAGCTTCAAAATCTTTTTTTGTCCCATTCAAATATTCTAGAGTTCCATCTTTTAGACTGTATCCAATAGCATCCAATTTTTTGCATCTGTATTGCACGATTTCAGTTGAGAGTTCTAACACTGCAGGTGTCTCTTTTATTTGGTCTACAGAAATTCCCAGTTTAAATAGTTGTTCTAATCTTTCTTCCAGAACTGGAGCTGCATAGTAGAGAAGGGCAGGGCATCTTATTATTAGCTCTTTCAATTCTTGATCACTACACTTGAAGATATTCCTTGAGAATGACAGGCTGTTTTGCATCTTGCTAGGGTTGAGTTGAAAAATAAATCCTTTGAGCTTTGAGAGCAGACTTAAAACTTCAGAATCAGTAAATTTCTTCTTAAGAAATCCCAGGTTCTCTTGAAAAGTGCCAGGTGTGCTTAACAAAATAAATGGATTTTGACTTAGCAATTTTAGTAGCCAGTTTTTCATATTCTCTGGTGAACCACCTAGTTCTATATAGTTAGTTTGCAGGATTTCTATCATATGCTTGTTCTTTGCAACAGGACTGTAAAAAATACTTGATGCACTCGTTAGGAACCTGCTGATAATTGTATTCTTCAGTCCCAGATCTTTAAAGAATCTAATATTGGCTTTCTGATTGTTGTAGTGTTCAAATGTAAAAAAAGAGTCTGGGAACCGTTTTATTAATTCTACTAACTGTTTCTCATTTTGACAAACCGATAACCACAAGTCCCACTGATACCTGATATCTGTAGGACTACAAAGAATTGCCTCAGGACAGTGTTCAAAAATATATGCCACAGAACTCCCATCAGCTCCCATTTCTTGCAAAATCTTGGCTGTTTCTTTGACATACGTCATCTCTTTTGAGAGCACCCATGGCTTCAGCCTACGGATCTTCCTGACATCCACAGATAACTCAGAGAGACTTTTTACAGTTATCTTGTTCTCCTCTGAAATTACATCAGTTGTATATCTGAAATGCTGTAAAAAGTTGTTCTTTCTTTGATTCCAAGAAGATGAAAGGGCTGGCAACATAATGCAAGGCTGAGATTTAGCAAAGATATGCATAGAGAGATGTGGAGTAATGGCAGCCATTTTGTTTTGTGATTCAGAACTATATTGGAAAAGGCCTATAAGAATCAAAGCATAAAATGTTAAAGTTATGTTATGTTCCAATGTAAGCAAATGCAAGAAAACAATCTGTGTGTTTCCACATGGACAACTCCTAATACTACCAATGCAAAAGCATTGTGAAGCTATTCCTCAATGGGTTTGCTGAGAAGATGGAAGAAACAGTGAGAAAGTACAAAAGGGTCATAAGTAGATGGGGCATTATCTGAACCATCCCTAAAGTTCTGTGAATGAGGCAGAGCCATTGTTGATTAAAGTGCTTCTTCATGCAGTGTATTGTTTTGCATTCTAAGAACCACAGAATGAACCAACCAAAGCCAGGTGAAAAATTTGCCACCACAGAATGCACTGATGATCACTAACTCAGATGCCATTAAACGTGTATTATACCAATTCATTGAAATAAGGTCATGAATCATGATAGCTATATATTACTTTCAATATAGAGATACCACACCTATGTACAACAGTTGCTGGGGAACCTGAGTGCAAGGATGCTGCTATACTCATGTTTGCGTCAGAACTTTCACCCGGTGCCTCTGGATGGCTGCTGTGAGAACAGAAAGCTGTACTAGGTGGGCTTCTGCCCTGATCCAGCCTGGCTCTTATACTTCTAAGCATTGCCTGGAAGGATCCCATGCTCCTTTCAATGCAAGCCCTTTTTCTTATTTAACAGAGATACTCAACAATCTTTCAGAAGGTAATCAAGCCTTGCTTTGTTGCAACTGTTAGCATTTGTAAAATGGGGCATGCTGTGAAGAATTATCTGCTTTCATTTCAGTCACATATGGCTGAATAGTAAGTGTAAAGCAATAGCAGAATGTATGCTAGTAGGTCAACAGCCAACACAGCAAGATCAGGAGTGGAAGTAGTGCACAGTGTAACACAGTGCAACACAACAGGGCAAATTACTGCTGCATCTTGTAATTCCTTCTGGAGTCCCACAGGCCTTCTCCCTGATTTACTGTGTGAGTACACTCTTGCTCAATGTCCCTTGACCAAGTGTTCAAGAAGGCTGAAGAAAGAATGGAAAGACAGTAATAGCAAAGTTTGCTGCTCAGTACTGTCAGGCTAAAGAAATCTACAGCAGTGACAATTAGGCAGACTTCAAGTTTGGAGTTGTTTACCTGAGTTTGCTTACCCGGCCCTTAAGATCAGCCAACCAAGGCCAGGTGCAAAAAATGAGCACTTATGAAGGATACTGAGCCCAGGAAGCTGCTTTGATTCCCAGAACTAGCCTGAACTCTCTGTTTTTCCACCCAAAAATCAATTACTTGATTACACCAAGCTTTTCCTATTTCAAAGAATACAAAGTTGCAGGCAGGGGAATTATTCAGTTATTGGTATTGTTAAACGATTGGGAGTGAAAAAGCCTTGGCAATCTGTTGCAAATCACCCAGAGATCTACCAGTAGACTCTGATATACCCTCTTTCCTACCATGTTTCTACAGGTTGCAGTCTTGCAAACTTATTTCCTTCTCAAATAGCAATCTGTGGTTTCTTTTTGCTTCTAAAGCCACCTCAACTTCCCTTGTTAAGCATTTCAACATTTACTTTTGCTTAACGTACTACTCTATGTTTCTGCCATCCGGGGAGCAGGTGCAACCTTGTAAGATAAACTGGTGCTTATGTGGTCAAAGAAATTAGGCTTCTGCCTTTTCAAGAGCTTTGAAATAAGACACTGTTCCATAGGTGTGGGTCCCCTCACTACCAGTAAACTGGGAGGCACCAAGTGCCCACCTGTGGAGCTCAGCTGCAGGGAAGAACCTGTTTTCAGTAATAGGCCCTTTAACACTGAAAGGCAAGTTTCTGTAAGCATGTGCACAGCGCTGGAAACTACAGCATCTAGGCTCACACGGGTTCCAGGTGGGAGCAAATGGCTTTAAAGGAGGCACTTTTCCCTGGGAGGACTTAACAGGCCGACAGCCCTATGTTTAACACGTACAGCTTTTTTCATTACTATGCCAGCAGCAGCTAATGACAGAGCAACCGCTGGGGAGGTACAAAAATCTGTCTCCTCCTCACATTTAAGGTAAGCACCTTTTTTTAAAAAAATCAGAATCCACGCCTTTAGTGTACGTGGCAGTAATTTTCATTAAACAACTCTATGAAAATACCCTGAATTAAGAAAGCGGCTTGGGGCAGCAATCCTGTAAATGTTTACTTGGAAGTAATACCCTGTTGAACTCAGTGGAAGGAATCAGAACTGAAAGACCTGAGAGTTAAGATCTGATCTTTAGAAGCCTGATTTAAATATTGGTTCTGGTGCTCAAACACGGGTTCGCCCGCTCCGATGAGAGGAAATACTTGCCAAGTTAAGCACTCAGCCCCTCATATCATGACCGAAGCTGCAGGATGACCATCTCTCGCCCTGCAGCGCCCCGGACCCGCCACTTCAAGGTTAGCACGATTTGTTCTTCTCGGCGAAGGACCTCGCCCTGGCTCGCCTCCCCAGCGCGGATCCTCCCAGAAGCTCCATGACTGCTGCGGATGACGAAACGTCTGCGTGTTCCCCGAGGCGGCAGGGCCGGGCGATGAAACAAGAGGCTCGCTCAGCTGCTAGCGCCAGGCCAGGCTGCTCGGCTGTACCAATGTGCCAAGCGGGCGGGGGTGTCAGTTACTGATGGTGGAACAACCCATTTCCTTTTCTACCTCAGCTTGTTTACTGGGAGAAACGAAGAGAGGCTAATTAAACATGCCACAAAAGGTGCACGTGTTTGTCTCGAAACAGGAATACCGACAGAGGATTCAACAAGATTGGTTAAATCGGGATTTACTTCCAAACACATATATTTGGGTAATCAAAGAGCAAATTTGCGATCGTGTTTTCTCAGGTTTCTCCACAAAACCACCACGAATTTAGCACATCTTCCTTACGTTTACAACTTTCTATTGTATGTCAGTCCGGTTTTTTCATTCGCAAGTCCCCCTCCCCTAGTTTTATGCACCACTCTCTGCTATTACTACTATTCCCTATAATCATAGGTTTTTATAGGGAAAGTCACTCTCACCCAGTACAAAAAACCAATCTAGAAGTTTCAGGAAACTTGCAAATTCCCTTGCTTGTGCCAAGCAATAATTTACAATGCACCCGAAATCATTAGCTGGATTTGTGTCAAATGTGTTGTTAGTCGGGGTTATTAACTGTTTACATTGCACAATCACTGCACTGTGTGGATTAGATCCAAGTCACATAAACCTGTTCAAGTCAAGGAATATATTTGGATTTCTAATGTGAAATGGGTACTCACAAAATTGGTGCTCCTTCATAAAATGCAACCTTGATGGGAATAGCTAGTTACAAAAACTCCAGGTAAAATTCGTAATTAAAATAAGAGGAACGCTTGTGGGTACTCTGCTCTCCGTGGGTGATATGTTGAAAATTGCATAAGCAGATCCACTTAAACCAGTGGTACAAATTATGAATAAAATATCTTATTGATTTAAACGGGGCTGCACTAAGCACAGTTAAGTCTAGATTCAACACAATGATTTAAGGCTATGCAGGATAGAAATAGGGGGATCCCAGAGGACTGTGCTATTACACAGGGAAAGTCAAGAGAAGGGCAAGGGAGTTCTGTTGGGATGAATATGAAAAGTAGTAATATGTTAAGCCAAAGGTGGGGCTTAAAGGAAGATAGCAGCAGCATAAACAGCCGTCCATGAGAACACGGGTACAATCCTATGTATGTTTAGACAGAAAAAAAAAGTCCACAGCTCCTCCTATGCCCCTGGTAGCACGGAGAAACACTCATTACCTATTATTTAATGGACTGAAGATTTCACTGCTTTTGTTACATGTAAGCATCTCTCTTACAGAGTCACATGGATGTGCATTTAGATATATGGGCTACTTATATCAATGCACATACTTCAAATGGAAGTGTTTAAAAGTAACACCACCCTTGTCCCCTGCCAGCTCAATGTAGCCAGGTTGTGAAACTTTTCCTGTTTTATTCCCTGCATGAACTGTCTTCTCTCTTTCAACTGACAGTAATGGGAGTGGAATTAACTAGCCAGCTCTGGGCTGGTTAGTTCTTGGTCCTTTAGTTAGGGGAAAAGAGACTTTTGAATACCATGGATCCAAGGCAGCCCCCAGTATATCCCACACATGTCCCAAAATATCCGTTTCTGGCAATGCATCTACACCTGCTGAGTTTCTCTACCACCATGCAGTGGAGCAGCACTTTCCCCTCCGTTCATTTAGCTTCTTTCTGCCTGTGCAGCCATCCTTCTGCAATATTGGAAGCAAGCTGATGAGTTATATGATTACAGCCTAAAAGTGGCAGTGGCTTCACCTGGATTAACAAACTGATGTTCTGACTCCGGTCACGTGATGGCCAATCCATATTTATATCAAAACAGATATGGAGCATTCCTTTCCTGAAACCATAAACATGCAGTTTCCTATATGATTTCCTTATTTAAAAAGTAGGTGATATATTTTTGGGTAATTTCAAATAACATGGAGGTCAAAATACTACAGGTAGAGATTCTCAGCAAAGCAAATTGTACAGCAAATGTAGGAAACTTTGCATCATAAACTAACTTAAAAAGAGGCACAAACATGGTAAGGTGTAGAACTATGCAGTTAAAAGCATACAGGCAACCCTAACACGCTTTGCATTAACGTCACATCAACAACCATATGATTAGCAAATTACAGGGTTGATCATACTCCCTGCTTTTGAAGATGCTTTAATCTTTTTCCCTCTCTTTCTTCAAAGTGCATCATGTTCTGCCAAGGGACTATCATAACTTGCTTGGTACAAATGTGTTTGTCCAGGGATTCTGTCTCTCTGCTCATCTCCAATCATAAAGTCCAGTTCTAAAGTGATAGTTGCTTACACAGCCAAATGTGGTAGTACTGATTCTCCTCTGGCTCACCCAGATTTTTTGCCCCTTGCCAAAAGTTTGTTTGGAAACTCTGGCTTGTGCTATTAGATAAAATAGCACAGCTTTGTGCAGGATTGATTAGAATTAAGATATTTTAATGCTGACAATCTTTTATTATTTATCTCAAAACTTCAGTCAACTGTCTGGCTTTGATGCAATTGAGTAATCCTTTTGGTTATTTGACCGGTAGCCCTGCTACCGGTCAAAGTAGGTATCAATGCTGGCTGGAGTTACTAGATCTCATAATATATTAGCTAACCAACAATTAATCTATTCTCAAGGAAGCCTGGTGACCAGTCTGAGTGGTAGAACAGAGGACAGGTGAACAGAGAAAGAGCCAAGGGTCATGAAAGGCACAGAAGACATGCAAAGGGAAAGAGGGAAACACAGTGACACAAAAATACTCCTTGAGAACCCTACGCTCTTGTTCCAGCAACAACTTCCAATCTACAGAGAACCAAGTCACTCTGAGATAATGAGTGGGAGAGGAGAATCCACATAGCCATAAGAAGAATGAATACAGAAACAAGTTTTGAAATCATCCAGCTATGACTTGGTTGAGGCCCCATCGGTGCGGGTGTTCAAGGATAGGCTGGACGTCCACATGGCGGGCATGTCGTGAGCGGAGCTGGCTGGTGCCGGAGGTCAGACTAGATGGCCCAGGAGGCCCCTTCTGACTCGCGCTGTTTTCTACGTTTCTGTGTTTGTAAATCCATCATAAAGACTCCATCAGGTCAGGCCTACTCAGAAGCACATAGTACAAAATTTCAGATTATGTGTATCTTGTAAGGAGGTCAGGATTGCTCAAGAGAAAGTATGGGACCTATGCGATGAGTATATCCCTTGGGAAGCCAGAAGCATGTGTTAGGATCTAGATTTAGCCCTGCTACTTTTACAGCTTTAGCAACTTTTTCACTACTAGAAGCACTATCAACCCACAATCTACTTTTATAAACACTTACCATGTGTGAGTAAATAGGATAGACTTGATTGTAAGCCAGAATAGATTAGGCAACTGGCTTATCCAATTTTACCTAAGCAATGGATTGCCTTTTTTAACATCTGTATCTAAAGCATCTGTGGATCTCACATTATGCCCTGTTCACCAAAAATTCATCTCCTGTCTATTGGATGCCACAACATCTCTTTAATGAGGGTTTATATAAGTCATCAAATTGCTGGATATATAGCTAATACTTCTTTTAACCATATAGTTTGGCAATGACCCATTGCTGTCTTTTTGTGGAAGGAGGTTATTGGATACATCTTGCTCTGGAACACACTTCAATATTTATAGATGTACATGTTCTCTTAAATTATCTATGTGCTTCCTAGAAGATAATACACAGCACATATGAACTCTCTATGCTCTTTTGACAGCTAAAGACTGATACATGCTCATGTTCTATAATGCAATGGGTTAAGCAGCTAACAAAGCTTTTAATATTTGAACATATAGAGTAGCCACTTGCAAATACGCACTTATATGGCTTCTATTGTTGAAGTTTTTGTACAGTCATGCATTGAAATTTATATGTTTAAATCTATGTAGTTACAATTTATTGCCTTTTTTCTTTTGTGTTTTTAGTTTTACAATAAATATTATATAAAATAATACATGTGCTTTAGAAACAAAATAACTCTGAGGCACATACCCATAGGGTCCCCTTAGTAGACATGCTAATTTTTATGCATCAATGTTTTATCATGTTGGAGCTATGGTGGTAGAGAGACAGACACACATCCATAGTTTTATTGTGCTGCTTATTCCTGCTTCCATTTCAAATCTAGACACGTGTTGAGTTGAAGGAAAAAAGGAAAATTAAAAAGAGTTAGGTCATAAAGGAAAGTTCCAAGTCCAGTCCCTCTGTTAATGGCAGAAGACCATTTAGATGCCTTCTACTTCCTCCAATTTCATTTCCTTTGGGCATTTCTAGAACTTTCCTACATTTATTGTGCACTTGTCGTTCCCTACTCACCAATGTTTACAGCAAGGGTGTCCAACCTTTTGGCTTCTCTGGGCCACATTAGAAGAAGAAAAATTGTCTTGGGCTGCCAAATTAAATACACAAACTCTAACAAAAGCTGATGAGCCAAAAAAAGGGGGGGGGTCTGTGCATAATTTTCATGATACCCACCATCGGAAATAAGCAAAAAGGTCTTCACATAATAATCCTAATAATGTGGCACCCCATTTAGAGAGTCTTTAACATCATCAAGCAGAAAAGAGGGCAACATAAAACTAGTGGGATATTTGGCACTGTATTTGAGAAACAAATGCATCAATATCTGGCTTGATGGAAGTAGTTGAAATTCTCAGCAAGTTCTCAAGCTGCTCATCAGATATGTTGGTTATAATTTTACTCTTAGTTGCTCACAAATGTAGGTGCTGCCAAAAAGCGAAGACATGAATTAGGCGTGATTGTGAAGTAAGGGATATTTGTCTCTGGGAAGACAGGACCTATGTAAGTCCATGATAAAATTTTTCTTTAAGTTGAATTTAAGAGCATACAAACATTTATTTTACATAGCATCGTGACACAACGTGCTTGCAAACAAAAAATTCACAAAAAATCTCATAATGTTTTAAGTAAGTTTA